CACACACACACACACACACACACAAAGGAACATATATATATATATATGCACACACACATATTGACGTTTATTTATATAGATTCACTACCGAGAAAGTGAACATTCGAGTAATCTTATGCTGCTACAGCATTCATTGTAAAGAACTGAAAAACAAAAAATATGAAAAATTGGGTGAAATCGGTTATTTTCGATGTGAAATCATAGAGGTCTCCAGCAGTAATTAGTGATATTAATTGAAATATTGATAATATATATATTTTTTGCATTTTTTTCTGAATCGTAAGTTATTCAGGACTCTGTAACCCACAAGAAATTTGATTTAGCATTAGTTCGGAAAACTATGTCTAAAAGTACGGTAATTTCAGGACTTGTATGATAATCTGTCTATTATGAGTTGAATTAATTAAGTGCCTTTATAGAAATAGACAAAAAAAAATTGTTCGGAGTATTGTTCTTTTAAATTATGAAATTTCGTCACACTTTCTAGACCAAAAGGCTTCTGTATCTTTAGACAAGAACACGTTCAAGAGAATGCGACAGGCGAATAACTTTATCTTTTAAAAACAACAAACCAAACCATGTAGCTAACGCAACTAATAATAACACACGAGTTAGTTTACAGGGGTAACTCACTGTAAAAAACAACAATAACAACAACAACTTATAATACTAACAGCTGTGCCGTTGCTGACTGAAACTTCCCAGCAAATATAACAATACAATATTATTTTACGATCTCTAAGATAAGGAAGGAAGGGTAACTATAACTTTATAAGGCATAGAAGGTTTTTGTATGCTGAAAATAATACATTATTGTGGAATGGAATTGTTTCCTTTGTGTGTATGTTTGTATGTGTTTATTTCCCCGAAGGCCGCCCGGAGGGGATCACCTGTTTTAACTATTCGCATCATTATACAGTAGTGTATTGTCTGTCAGTTAGTCAGTAGACACTAAAATGATATCACATAAGGGACACTTAATGTTGCAAGTTGTAATGAAGTGACGTCTGTAAAATATGCCCGATGCAAGTCTCCTCTAAACCAAACAAACAAACCCAGCGGTGACAGAGTGCAGATCACCGTTGTGTAGTTTGTACAAAGAAAACAACAACAAATTGGTATATAAGAAATATTAGTTTAGCAGAACCATTCGTACCAGGCTTTCTTCCTCAGCTCAAGTTTGTTTAGGTATTAATCCTTGATAGTAAGTATGCGTGTTGGGTTTGGAATGTTAAAAAAAAGGGGCTGTCGATGTTGCGTTTTCACCCTATATACATAGATAATTACTTAGATAGTGATTTAATTACTAAACTGTCAGTTGTCTACATCAGTGATTAGACAGGTGATATGTAAAGAAGGGAATTCCCCATTTGATTTAGGTAAAAGTATTACATAATGTATTTAACAATAAGTTTCGGATATTAATACAAAGAAGTAGGGTGAATGATACTGGTATTAAGAGGCTGGTTGTTTTTATGTCACTAGACACTTATAAATCAAAATATAACATTTCTATACATCATTAAATATTTCTGGGGCAGGATTCAATAATGATTTCTTTTCAGAAGGAAAATTGGATGCGTATTAACCTCTTTATTCATGAGATTGTTTGGCTATCATAAATCCTGGAAGCTATTTCATATCCGGGTGCTTTAGCCTAGTTCAGGATGGTTTATTT